TAAAATGTAGCAGTGCACTTCTATAGGTTGATATCCTCCTGTGTTTATTAATCTTACTTTTTGCTTCTTGTGTGTCAATGTGTTTTGCAAATAAACCATTTATCTATCTATCTATCATATACTTATTATGAAGGAATCTGTGATTTAGCACCACTGCCTTTTATGTAACCTTTTCCCTAATGGAATATTCCATCTCCTAGTGCACTTTGTAACGTCACTTGTGACGACGCGACCTGGGGGTTATCAGATTACATACCCCCTAGTGTTGCCAACGTACCACCACCAAAGCAAGTTCAGTAGGTTCATTTCTTAAGTTTTTGTTAAGTCCTGACGCCCGTATTCACAAACATTACTATGAGGTCTCACGGTGCTCGTGGACGCATAGGGTCACACACGAACCAATCACAGAGCTCTATTCAACGCTGTGCGTTCGAGTTGTTATTCAACGCTGTGCGTTCGAGTGAGAAACAGCAGAGAGGAGTTGCAGAAGTGGGATGGAGATATGGGAATAGTCTCGATTTCATAGTTTAGAAAAGCTTATTTTGTGTCTCGCTTTTGATGAATTGTGGACCTAAGTAATTTTCACAGAAACACATATTTCTTGGTTGAAAATTTGTTAGATACAAGTCGGACAAATCGTGTAATTAGGGAGTAGTATGTAACAAGCTTTTGTTGCATTCTTCGTATTGAATAAGCCGGGCAGGCTTATGTATACTAGGGCCATACCTATAAAACTGTAGTTAGGTAATGTAGTCTGTTGTAACAAATTTTTAGCTAAGTATTGTATTGTTACTAATTTTGGCAATAAAGGCGCTGTGATGGAAAAAAAACAGTGTTCTAATTAAAACAAGATGTTATTCTACGAGTCCCACAACTGCCTTAAAGGCGGACTACCCACACAAAATGAAAGTAAAAAAAATATAATTGATACTGAAATCAGTGTTACGTGCCTGACGCCCACATTAACAACAGAAAATGTCCCTTTGTTCTTTATTTATATTATTATAAAGTTAATTAACAATTTACAAGTTTCTAAAACCCTATAGGTCATATTAGAGGCAATGTTACGAAGTTGCGATAAGATAAGTCGTATGCTTATCACGTCCTACATTACAATTAAATAACCAATAATATCTACTTTATGTGTACTTTGATTGTGGTTACTAACACTTTAACAAAGAGGTTTTTTACCTAACTGTGTTAGAGAAAGTTACGTTGTTTATTTTAAAATTAAACTTCACGATGTGTATCATAAAAAATAACAAATAAAGTTTTTGATTCTATTCTACTTACCTATCTACAATTTAAAGTTTATATTCTACTAATTTCGTTATCAGAAAATAAGGTATTTTCAGAAGGTATTGTATTAATATATGACTAATTCAAATTAAATAGTTTTAGCTAAGTAATTAGGTGCATATTGAAAGTCGGTATTAATGTATTATGAGGATGTTACCATAAGCGTTAAATAACCTCATTAAATAGGTTATCTGTGTTATTAATATTATTATCTAGGATAATGACACGTAATTATTTATCGCAAAGTACCTACACTTGAAACATGTCCACAACTGTAGGTACATTTATTACATTATCACACACAATTAATATTGGTTTATAATGTTCAAGATAACCTTATTAACCTAAGGGACTTTCTATTTAACGACATTGTCAGAAATCATTACATATTGATTGTTTACATAGTTAAACGTTTTTATGTTGGCATTAAGATTAAGTGTTTCCTTGTATTTATTTATTTACTAAGTAAATAGCATTTCCCGCGTGAATTTCGGTCAGAATGTTTCGAACAGAATGTTTTCATCCCTTCCAAAAACCTATGTTTTTCCTAGGATTCCCAGGGTCTCAAAAAATCTGTATGTCTACAAAAGTCCACCTTCATCCGTTCATCCTCTCCATATTCAAATGGAGGATGAACAAGGTTTTTAATTAAGCATGGTTTAAGCGCTCACTCCTTAATCGCTGATCACACTCAAGAAATGACTAAGTAACTTTTATAGATTTTATAAACGTTTTGTTAATTGATAAAATTGACGCGCTTGGGACTATTGCGGAGTTTTTTGTCTGAATTATTCATATTCATAGGAGTTGTGTTGATGCCGGAAACCGAGCCTTTCCGTTAATTAAAAGTTCTGCTCTCAGCTAGAAGCTTACACATCATTTGCGACATTGTACGTAAGCGGCTTATATTTATTTAAAGGTGAAAACTGGTAGAATGAGGTCTTATTCTGCAAAGGATTCTGTTGCAATTTTATAGCGTCTCATAACCTACAAAGTTTTCGTGAATCGTCAAAGAGACTGCCATTTGCAGTAAATAATATTTCAAACAAAAACTAACAATGATTGAAAGACTTATGCTTTCAATGCAAATTCAATGACTCAGTTTCATCTATACTATCTATACCACAGAATNGTCTATACTAATATTATAAATGCGAAAGTCACTCTGTCTGTCTGTCTCGCTTTCACGCCTAGACCACTGAACCGATTTTGATGAAATTTGGCATAGATATAGTTTGAGTCCCGGGAAAGAACATAGGATAGTTTTTATCTCGGTTTTTGAAACAGGGACGCCGCGATAATGTTTTCTGTGTCAGACAAAATTCTAAGCGGGCGAAGCTGCGGGCGGAAAGCTAGTAATGAATATACTCTTAAATTATTAATATGGTCTATACAGTCACGCTGTTTTATGCATCTCCTCGTTATACCTACATAGATCTAAGTTTAATGTAATCCGAATTCTGAAGGCATAAGTTCGTAGCAGCGTAGTAATTCAGTATTCTACGACTACTACGGTTGTTCGTAGCAAAATTACAGTTTATCTCGAGCATGTACTTTTACAACTGCTTAATTTAAACCAGGGCAAATTGTGGAGCGTTGCGGCCACCGGCCAGGGTATATTTCATTCGTATGTATCCATTATTCATGCCTCCTGCGGCAAAACTGAACTTTGGAGAAATACCTACTGCGACTACTTGTGGCGTTTGTAACTTTGAAGTTATTGCCATTAAAAATAAGAAGACCTAACTTTGTAAGACTGTGTATTTACAACTACAACTATTTACTATTGTTATTATGTGGTAATATCAGTATGTTAATTTTCAATTGGTTCACTGAATAATTAAGGAAAACTCAAGGGAAAACTCGAAGTTAAATGTAAATTCCTAATTTTGTAAAAAAAATGATTAATTCACTTTTCGTCACAATTAAATTCCTGCACTGTACAAGTAAGTAATAATTACTAAAGTTACTTAACTTTACTGAGCACTATTTATAAGCAAAACCATTTAAAACAACTTAAAATCTAAAATGTCGATAGCTTTCTTGGGAAGTTCGAAGTACTTCACAGGGCTTATAGTGCGATCGTAAATGGGCCAGTTTCTATACTCAGGCTACAAACACACGAAGTAGGTCAACTTCAGCAAAGTTCAACGTGTGGGCGACACGAAATATGTGCAACATATTAAAGATACGATGTCGTAAAACTTTAATAAGTAAGAGCCTTAAAATAAAATTATTACATTCTATTTTTAATGTTTTTAATTTCTCTATTTATTAGTTTGGCAACGTAGTAGGTACAAGTTCATAAAACTTTTTGGTATTGCCTTAGTTGCTCTTAAATATGACTAGAACAGTATTTATTGTGTGAGCTTTTGCTGGAATCAAAGCATTTTTGATTGCGACCGACTGCGCCAGAAGGAGGGTTATGTTTTTCGAGTGTATGTATGTGTAATATACCTATGTATATTTCTTTGGCACGCCCTACTGTCTAAACGGCTTGACCGATTTTAGCGTGAAAGGTGTCGTTAGATTCGTCTTAATTGTGAGAGTGACAGAGTGACACTGGCTATATTAAAATTAAAAAAAATCAAATATTTTAGGCGCCATAATGTCTTTAAATTTTTTTAAATATCTATTTAAGCGAATCGTTCAAAATCCACTTACTCTCAGGGATGCTGATCTAACTCATTCATTATGCTAAACGGCTTACTAATGATTGTGCTTGAAGCTAACTTAACTATTACCACATCTTTAAGGACTTTAGAAGGTTAACAGAACACAAAATCCCTCTTAAATACCCTCTGAAGTTTAAATCTTACCTAAATAAACATATTGGCCCATTGGGAGTCCGACGCCTGAGCAACGACTCCACGAAGAGTTGAATGAGTGAAGAAAGTTAATGTTTAGGTTAGGCGTGTTATTTATTTGCTTACAGAAAGTTAGTCTTGCAAGTGCATTCGAAAACTGTGTGTGATTGTTCCCAGTAGAATAAAAGGTATTGCAGGCTTAAAATTGGGTCGTTGACGACTCATCATCATACCATTTGTAGTGTCTACTGTATTCCCGATCCTCTCTAATTTACCAGAGGCAAATTTAGGGTTTGGCCTATACTCCTCATGCTGGTGAGACGGATAAGGGAGGAGACATAGGCGACTCATTATAACACCTGGGTTTCGTAGGTCACAACTAACACACTTTGCCCACACATAACCCATAATGTTGTCCCGAAGTAGTGGTAGGGCAAGCTATATTTGGGACGTGTAGGTATAGGGCCTATGTACCTACTGAATAAACTATTTGATTTGATTTATTTAGTAATTTAGAGGATAGTCTCTAAATTATAGTCTAGCCATAAGGGTGTGGTGGGTCACCCCGAAATAATTAGGCGTGATCAATGTATGGCATTTATTATGCAAGTGCAAGCGCGTGCGTCCCGTAGTCCGTAGTCGTGCTACCGATTGACTGTAGGACCGAACTAAAGTCTGGTCGCCGAGCACGTAGAATTTTGTCCAATGACCCCAAGCTACCTATCTTTATCGCTCGCGCGTAGGTAATTATATTGCTGTCGCGACTGTGCGACGGGCGGCAGCAGTGAATGTGCGACCAGACTGTACACAATTATTGAAATGGACAGCAGACAATATTTGTGTGCGTTGCACTTTGCATGCACCCTACAGTAACTTCGATATTTTTGCCTACAGACGAAGCCTTGGAGGCCCTGCTGGATGAGGTGATCCGAGCCAGCAACGTCGGAGTGTCCGCCTCAAAGAACGTCAACGGCGGGCCCAACTGGAGCTTTGGACAATCCTTGTTCTTCTCGTCCACTGTGGTGACCACTATTGGTAAGTATTCATCGTCATTTCAGCCATAGGACGTCTACTGCTGAACATAGGCCTTCCCCAATGATTTCCATAACAAGGTGGGCCCACGACCTCCTAAAGGTGACAGAAAGGCGCTATATGCAGCTACCGACCGGTCCTATGTTCAGCAGTGGTAAGTATTATCCCACCAAAAATATTTTCATGGGAAATATGGCCAAGACGAGACAATAATGGCTCTCTACTCTACTTATTTTTTGCTTTCGAATATATTTTGGAGTAAAAAAAATGCATTTGGCTTTTCGAAGAAATGGCTCTTTGTAGAAAAGTGGATTTCGATAAAATGCCTTTCGATGATCAATCCGAGACCCAGATACATTAACACAAGTAACTTCTCCCCAGGTTACGGCCACGTGACTCCTCTCTCGAAGCCAGGCAAGTTGTTCTGCATGGTGTACGCCCTGTTCGGAATCCCGTTGACCCTGGTTCTGCTGTCGGCCTTCGTTGAGCGCCTGCTGGTGCCAGCGACGGCGCTGCTGAGGACACTGAATGCTTCCCTGGGGCATCTCTTCCAGCCGTTCACTATCCGGGTCATGCATTTGACTATTATGGGTAAGTATCCTAAGTTATGCAACTAAAACTTAACATTTTGTCCCCATAGGTATCGTTGCCTAAGCCTAATAGGCGCAGACCACCGATTTTTAGTTGGTTGGATAGTTGACCCTTATTCTAATTTGTAAGAATCGGCCGATACCAAATCGGTGTAATGTGCGGTGCGCACTTTCATTCATCTCCTGATAACAGCCCGACCCAACTATCGGCCAACTAAAAATCGGCGCCTAGGCTAAATGGGACATGAAGGAAGAACAGAAAAAACCCAGATAAAAAAAAATCCTTAGCCATTTTAAAACTTTGCCATTTAGTTCCAAACTAAGCAAATCACAAGCTTTGTGCATTATGAGTCAGATAACATAATTAAAAGTTATCTTTTTTTACATAAGACAAACCTATACAGAAAATATCCAGACCAATACAAACAGATTACAAATCTAACGCATTACAAATTCAAATTTTTTATTGTAAGAGCACTCTATAAAAACATTCCTAATGCCTCCAGTTGGAATAATTATTATTCTGTTACATAAAAAGAACCTAGCAAACTAACTACTATTTGAACATATTCTAAACAAGTTGCTACAATGCAACGTCTTTTGCATAAAACAAGTCATCTCTCTTGTGCACATTCATTGCCTGCATAACAATGACTCTACATTTGAAGTACTAGAGCGGTTGAAAATGTATACCAAGTTGGAGTTAGAGGTCTTGAAAGCTATACCTACTTTGTACAGTCAACAGCCCATCAGACTATACAGTTTTGTTGGAAAATAGCATCTATTGCAAGTATATAAGATCCTAAGAATTAAGCTTGATGTGCCGCCGTACATAAACACTGGCATAACTGTTTGAATACTTGATTGCTCTGAAGTCGTCTGCAACTCAAATATTTTTCTCGTTTTTCGCTGATCGGAATATTTTGTTTGCGTTGTTAAAGGGATGCCGAAGACTAGACATTCTAATTACCTGCCTAGTACACTAAATAATTTAATTTACACGTGTTTTCATGCGATGACCAAGTCAATATATTTATGTAAAACGTTAAAGATTTCCTGGCCTGGACTTGGTATTACATGGATCTCACAACTTTTTACCGTAGAACAACTGAGTTGCGAGACTTGGTTTTTTGACAAGTATTGTTTTTGATGGGATCTCATTTCTTTTTGTATTCTGTAGACAGCAGTTATGTATCTAGAAAACTGGACCGAAATTGAAAAATTTTACTCGACTTGGCGGTTGCACTACCGTGCCCCCAAATGTTTTAGTTTTTCCTTCATTCATACACCAAACACTACTTATATTCCAAATTTGAAGCTTCTAGGTCTGCTAGAAGTGCCTTAGAATTTTGATGATCGGTGAGTCAGTCAGTGAGTCAGTGAGTGACAAAATTAAGTAACTTTGACCCGTTATAATTCTTAAACTACTGGTTCAAATTGAATGAAATTTTAAATATACCGTGTCTTTACAATGCCTGCATAGCTAATGAAAATTCAGCCTTCTAGTTTTATCCACAACGAAGTTACAGGCGGTCGAAAATGGCCTGAATTGCTTCGAGAAAAGGATGGTACGGCCGTGCCGCTTTTTTGCTCGACTTGGTGGGGGCACTGTCGTGCCCCCAGATTTCGATAAAATGCCTTTCGATGATCAATCCGAAACCCAGATAACACATGTAATTTCTCCCCAGGTTACGGCCACGTGACTCCTCTCTCGAAGCCAGGCAAGTTGTTCTGCATGGTGTACGCCCTGTTCGGAATCCCGTTGACCCTGGTTCTGCTGTCGGCCTTCGTTGAGCGCCTGCTGGTGCCAGCGACGGCGCTGCTGAGGACACTGAATGCTTCCCTGGGGCACCTTTTCCAGCCGTTCACTATCCGGGTCATGCATTTGACTATTATGGGTAAGTATCCTAAGTTATGCAACTAAAACTTAACATTTTGTCCCCATAGGTATCGTTGCCTAAGCCTAATAGGCGCAGACCACCGATTTTTAGTTGGTTGGCCGATACCAAATCGGTGTAATGTGCGCACTTTCATAGATCTCCTGATAACAGCCCGAACCAACTATCGGCCAACTAAAAATCGGTGGTCTGCGCCTAGGCTAAATGGGACATGAAGGAAGAACAGAAAAAACCCAGATAAAAAAAATCCTTAGCCATTTTAAAACTTTGCCATTTAGTTCCAAACTAAGCAAATCACAAGCTTTGTGCATTATGGGTAGGTAGAATACATTAGGAGTCAGATAACATAATTAAAAGTTCTCTTTTTTTACATAAGACAAACCTATACAGAAAATATCCAGACCAATACAAACAGATTACAAATCTAACGCATTACAAATTCAAATTTTTTATTGTAAGAGCACTCTATAAAAACATTTCCTAATGCCTCCAGTTGGAATAATTATTATTCTGTTACATAAAAAGAACCTAGCAAACTAACTACTATTTGAACATATTCTAAACAAGTTGCTACAATGCAAAGTCTTTTGAATAAAACAAGTCATTTTTCTCGTGCACATTCATTGCCTGCATAACAATGATACTCTAAATTCAAGTACTAGAGTGGTTGGAAATGTATACCAAGTTGGAGTTAGAGGTCTTGAAAAGCTATACTTTCAACAGCCCATCAGACTGTACAGTCTTTGTTGGAAAATAGCATCTATTGCAAGTATATAAGATCCTAAGAATTAAGCTTGATGTGCCGCCGTACATAAACACTGGCATAGCTGTTTGAATACTTGATTGCTCGTCTTCAACTCAAATATTTTTCTCGTTTTCTGCAGATTGGTATAGGTATAATGTTGCGTTGTTAAGGCAATGACTGATGGGGAAATGCTGGCACTTTTACATTCTACATAATTACCTACTTACTTATTACTTTGTACCTAGTAATTACATACATAGTAGTATGACTGTTCTTCAGCCTTTCATGCTATGACTCAAAAAATAAGAACCTACTACAGCCGTAAAGGGGATTTGTACCTATAGTACCAATTTGCTAACTAATAATTTCTTTTCAAATGTCTTATCAAAAAGGGTGTGTAAGTATTAGGGTTAAATATGCGAACATACTTACACGCTAAGTGGCACTGCCTCATTCGCACAAAATGCCTTAATACGATAGGTGCATGCGGATCATGCCACCTTGCAACAGTTGAAACTTTCTTTATTTGTTATTAATACCTTCAATTGTTTCTTATAAATAAATTGTTAATGTTTAATTTAAAGGTCCCTGCATTGACCACCCTTTTGAGGAATATCGAACTCGAGTCAATTTCTTCTCGAAAAAATGCGCGATGCCAAAATTAAAGGCGTCCGCGAAAGACCAGCTTCTTTACAAACCCTTTCGAGCATGTCATTGTCAAGATAAATGCTGAGCTAGCCTATTGACGCAGTGGCTCAGTAATTGTTTTTATTGTATTGTTGTGTTAATAAAGTTTTTCTATTTCATTACAGCATCAATATTGGTGGGACTCTTCATGGCTGTCCCGGCGGGTATATTCGCGTCGCTGGAGCCCGACTGGGACTACATGGACTCGCTGTACTACTGCTTCATCTCGCTGACCACCATCGGGCTGGGCGACTACATTCCCGGGGATTCCCCTGGGCAGGCGTACAGGCCGCTATACAAAGTGGCCACCACTTGTAAGTGACGTTATTACTTATTATAACTACCTACCGTACATAATCGCTCAACAATACCGACGTCAGCACAAAGTGGCGACGTCGTTGGGACCATTAAGGCGATTAGAGTCCTCAATGACCTTGGGCGTTTGACCTTCACGCCGCGAGCAACACCCGCGCACCCCGCACCAAAAACTCCGATTCAACACCGATCAAAAATACACGGGCATAGGTAGATACAGAATAGAAGCTCTTTCTTCATACATTACTGCCTATTATTTTAAACTTAAATTGATGAACCTTGATGTCGGTGTCATTTAACTCAGGCGTAAAGTTATTTAATAAAAATAACAAAATCCATGAACATTTTGTACGGGATAAAATTTTNTTGAGGACACTAATCGCCTTAAGTATTATGTAATACTTTACTATTGTGTCTAGCGGAGTAGGTATGGACGTGTGCAATTAAGATATTCAGTTTCCAGTGATATCACATATCACAGACTGATCCACACAAAACTTAAGTAGTTATATAAAAATGTTACGCTCGTTTTCACCATCAATCCCTAATTTTTAAGTGACTCCTATGAAAACAAAATTTATATTATGTGTTACCATAGGGGTCACTTAAAAATTAGGGATTGATGGTGAAAACGGGCATTAGTTTCCCTGAGTTTTTTTCTATAAAGTTATCTATTTATTTACTAAAAGGTAGGTACAATGGCCTCTAATATAAACTCTTTTTCAAAAACTGAAATTCAGTCAACAGAAGCTTCAATCTATGAAAGCACTTTTAAACTTGAAAAAACTAATTAAACTATCGTTTTTCCAGTCTACTTGCTCATCGGGCTGACGTTCATGATGCTGACCCTGACGGTGTTCTACGACATCCCCCAACTGAACTTCAGCACCGTGTTCTCCTCCGTGACTCTTCAAGAGGATCCCGAGAAGATGCGTCTTAGCGGTTCAGGCGTCATGGGCCAAGGGTACGGGATCGGCGGGCTAGTGATGCGAGATGACTTCAACCACCATGACCAGCGCCGTTCCGTTGTCCACATCAGACCCCACCTGGACGACAGCCCAAGCCCTGAGGACACCACACCTGTCCACGCCCGAGACATGCGAGTGCATTGAACGACTCACAACCAACTATTGTCTCGACCAGGGCCGAATTTAGCTGCGCCTGCTACTTCTACTAAACTTTAAGGCTGGATTGCACCATCTTACTTTAACTTTGACAAGCGTTAAAATCTTATTGACAGGTAGCTAATAGCTCATAAGATAGGCCCCCTTAGTAATAAATTGATGTTTATTTACTAAACCTTTCTGTTTGTCACCTGTCATCCGCTTTGCAACGGAGGGAAGTCGAACCTTAACTTCGAACTCCTCTTAAGTTCTTCTGATTAATTTCGTTGCGGATCCAATGACAGCTTAACTTTCCCCCGGGACAAACTTGACCTTCGCTGGTTGGGTTTTTATTGGCGGTCAAGCTGTAGATCCTGGACACAAGAGTTGCAGCGGTGGGAACGAGAGGTGGGAATAGTCCTGTTAAAAACGCCATAAATCTGTCAAATTCCATACAAAAAACATCGGTTATCGTTTACGGTCAAAGTTAGGTGGTGCAACTTAGCCTAAAACTTCGTAATTTCAATCCCCGCTAAAATCGGCACTGGCCAAAGACGACACGGCGACAGTTCTCTCTAATCTACGTTTTGGATTGTCCTATCACTTTCATCAGTTTCTTATAAGCGTGCAAGTTCGTGTGGGTAGTAAGATATTACGCGTCGCGGGTAGTTTGACTCGCGCGGATGGCGTCTGGTGCTAGCTCGTTGGAATTGGAATGTTTAAAACAAAACCACTCCCTTTTAATTTAGTATTTTACAATGTATTTAGTAGTTTAATTTGTTAACATTGCACATACATTAATGTATTAGTCGTAGGATAGGGTATGTACCTACTAATTCGTCTACTTTTTCTTTTTCCTTGCCTTCTGTTTGTCTCACTTTCTTCTTCTGAATATTCAGCTGTGCCCGTTATGAGATTATTACAATTAGCAAAAAAAATAATATCGTGCCGTTATTTTTTTTTTAATTCGATGTTTAAATAGGTAGGACCTATAGTAGTAGGTACCTACCTACTTCATGTTTCTTACAGTGCCATACGCCCTATCCCATTAATTAATTTTAGACTTAAATTATTGTAAGAACTGTAAAAATTTAATAATTCGAATGTCGAGTCCGACTCGAAGTTAGTTGGTACAAAATTATTAATATCTTGTCTCAAAATAATTTAGTGCATGATTGATTTATATTATTGGTAAATTAAGCGCGAAGTAACATTTATTTATGTATGTTTGTACTGTTTTTATTAATATAATAAAAATATATAAGTGTGAAGCAACACCGTAAGGTAAGTTATTCACGTCCCTGACTCTTTCGTTATGTTTTAAGTTAAAATCCATTTTATCGATAACCGTCCTTTGCTATTCAACATTTGAAGTCTTGAAGGTATGAGCACATTTGATGTTTCAGAGAGCTGCTGGTTTAACTAGTTGAACTGAGTTTAAGACTGACGCGGTTTTTTCAAATTTTCACACTTTTCTAATTGTTTTTATAGATTTTTTACGCAAACATGGTGAAAGAAAATACAGATAAATTGACGAAAACAAAGTAATATCAGAACAGACTGACTACAACGTACATCCCTCTACGTATACGTTTTACACGCTCCTAACTTATAAGAATTTACAAAAAATACCTACTTTGGACGGAAACTGCATATCAACTTAATCTTTGCATTAAAAAAATAAAAAAAAGGTTCTTTCAATGACGATGCTTTTTGTCATCTCTTTGGTGAAAATAACTGGTTTACTGTCGACGACAATCGTCTGCAAAACACATAATATGTGTTATTAATCAATGTTAAACTAGGTAAACCTTGACGTACGTATCAATTATGTGTGATAGATGACCAAATAATTTAGTAGAACGTTTGGATTTAAAGTATAAAATATGTCTCTAGTAGATGAAATATATTAAAGATGCTTAAAATGAAGAAATATGTATCAAATATAATTAGTAAAACATTTATATAATCTTACGATTTTAAATAGAAGACGTATGGTAGGTATCTACCAACGTTGTATATCTTTAAGTAAATGTAATTCTATAAAAAACACACCTATGTCATTCTTAAGACACTCTATCTCAACCAACTAAACTGTCGTCACCCAAATCGACTAGAACAACTTTTCTCCATTTAATTATTGTTTTTGGCAGTAATGGCACCATCGTAATAATGGCGCGTTACATAAAAGTTTCGTTAGTTTATTCGTTTTAGGATCTACCACTTTATTATTTTAAACTTTTCTAATTTTTAATCTTTGTATTTTTCGTTCTTAAAAGTTTGTATTATCAATTTTTTGTTGCAATTAAATCGAATGCAACTAATGACAATATTAGATAACTTAGAAAACTAAAGTATATTTACACCAAATCAAATTATTTTGTTTATCGTTGATTGAAAGCGTGTTAACTCTATTTAAAAGTTTAATTAATCTGTCCTGCTATCATAAAATCAATAGGTATTTTGTGGTTCTTTTGTTTATGCCATCATTTATAGGGAAACATCAGCTATATCTTAAAAGCCCTCTTACAATGTAAATGAATTCTATGTAATTTTACTTGAAAATAAGGTAGCAGAATATAGTAAGTTAAGTATTGAGTGTTAAAATGTCTATGAAAATAACTGTAAACGTAATGATAATCATAATGATATGGATTTAATTACAATATCCGTTTAGTAGAATAGAACGTAGTGCGTAGTTGTACACAAGCATTGAATGGAACCGCATGATAGAAGCCAAACTGTATCCATGATTCTTAAATAAATCCGCTTTAAAATGGATCAATGTTTGATTTACAATATATTACAATCCCCCAATGTAAATAATATGCAAAAGAAAGAGAGGAAATTATGTATTTCCCAAGTACCATTGAAATAATATGATCTAAACAAAGTTAAATGAAGCTTTTTATGACCATGAGACCAACCAACCATCTTGGAACGACAATGATAGTGTCATGGTCAGGAATATGGCCAAAAGTGGAATTCCGGAAAAAATAAGTGGCCATAACCAAAAGTTAAAAATGATCCAATTTTTACAACAGAATTGTTATTTAGTAATTCGATTTGAATTATAAATTAATTAATGAACGCATAATTTGTTAAAATTATTATTATAGATATTTTTTACGACTTTGATTTGACGTTTAGTTTATTTTACATGCATCATGGTGTAACGAAACGCAAAAAAATAACCTCAAAGTGCCTGTCGATGAGCGTGTTGTTTACAATTTCGTTTTAGTGCTACCTTTTAATTATTTGTTTTAATCAACCAATAATAAATATANTAAATATAGTTTACTGTAAAGTAATTTCCAAATGAAATCAATTACAAAATAATTCTTAACAGTCGTAAATTATAAAATAACCTCTAAAATGGATTCTCCTGTATCGGCTTTTGCAATGTATAACAAAAATAATAAAAAGAAACCTAGTCCTGTTGAAAAGAAGAAAACCAATCGTAAGAATAAGAAAAATGTGATCGTTTCACCGAAGGCTTCTTCTAAAAATATACCAGACAGTCTTATGATTGAAGTAGCGCAGAAAGTGAAAAGACAACAAAAGAGAATGAAAGAGCAGAAAAATATAGTGAAGAAAAAATCCCATAAGAAGAAGAAGTCTAAGAAATCTAAAGAAAATAAGGTAACTAAGAATAATAGTATTGTCAGTAAAAGAACGCAAGAAGATTCGGAGAGTGAAGACATTCCTACATTGGTACCTGCTCCCATCCACAACTTTGCACAATACTATGAAAATGGTGCGTCTGCCGATGAGACATGTTCGCACTCCAGTGAAGGCTACTTGGAATTCACACCAGTACAAACGGACAGCGTAGAAGAGGGACTAAAAGTATTCAAATGGATGATTGCACCATACAACCCAAAAGAATTTCTGGACAGAGTTTGGGAAAAGAAGCCACTACATATAGCAAGAAATAAATCGTCATATTACAAAGAAATCATTTCAACGCCAATCATAGATAATATGCTCAGGAATGAATCTATACAATTTACCAAAAATATTGATGTCACTTCTTATGTTGATGAGAAGAGAGAGACCCACAATCCTGAGGGAAGAGCTCACCCCCATTTAGTGTGGGATTTCTATCTAAATGGCTGCAGTATTAGATTGTTAAACCCCCAAACTTATATCCCAAAACTGCACTTGCTTAATGCTACAATGCAAGAGTACTTTAATTCATTTGTTGGTGCGAATGCTTACTTGACACCCCCAGACAGTCAAGGGTTTGCTCCACACTATGATGATATTGAAGCATTCATCCTTCAAGCAGAAGGTAAGAAGCACTGGCGAGTTTACAAGCCTAGAAGTGAAAACGAAGTTTTGCCAAGAGTATCATCGAAGAACTTCGATCAAAATGAAATAGGAGAACCAATTCTAGAAGTCACACTAGAGGCAGGTGATATGCTCTACTTTCCACGGGGATACATTCATCAGGGAGTAACAATTGAAGGCGAGCATTCTCTACATGTCACTGTCAGTATGTACCAAAAGCACTCATGGGCAGACTTATTTGAAAGACTCATTCCAGGAGCTCTAGAACTTGCTATTAATGAAAATGTAGAGCTAAGAAGAGGTTTACCATTAGATCTATATGAGAACTTTGGTTTTGTCAACTCTAATAACAAAACACCACGAAGGAAACAAATAGAGGACTTAATAAAGACTCTGTTTGATAAAATCAAAGATCACTTGCCAATTGATGAGGCTGTAGACCAAATGAATAAAAACTTTCAGTATGATGCCTTACCTCCAGTATTAAGCGATTTGGAAAAAGCTGTCACAGTGTTTGGCGACTCCGATGTCATGATTGAGGATGGTGTAGTAACAAATAGAATTGAAATTGGGTTAGATACAAAAATCAGGCTCCTGAGAAAGAATATACTGAGAATGATAGAAGAAGAAGAAAGTATCCGACTGTATTACTATGTTGAGAATTCTTTGGAGTATCATGGAAATGAGTTGTCATTTATAGAAATTGAGGAAGAGCTAGCTCCAGCGATAGGAACCTTGATTGAATCTTACCCAGACTATGTGAGTGTAGAAAACTTGGAGGCTCCCAGTGAAGCTGATAGGCTCCAAGTGGCAGATGCTTTGTGGTCTCGAGGACTAATTATGACGGAATACCCTTTGGATAATATTGAAGATGATTAAAATCAGCATGAAACTTTGTTGCCAATAAATATGTTATAAATTATTATGTACTCTCATTTAATTCTTAATATCTTACCAAAACCAATAGTTGTGTGTATGGTCAATGTCGCGGCACAGGGCCGGGCGTATCCGCGTGGGAACATTGGGCCATTTGTAGGTAGTTGTGTAAAAGTCATCAATACTGTAAATTGTAATTATTTCAGTGATTCAGATAAGATTTGTATGTATTAAAAGTTATCCAATGATTGAAAAATCAGGCCTAATCTGTAAAGGGAATTCTTTCAGTGGCACCTTGTGATCATATTTAGAGACCTCGCTATTGGCGCTTATAGAGCGACACCACTGGGAATAAGTAGTAAAGTACATAAGTACTAATTTTTAGTCATTTAAACAAAAAAAAATTAATCACATCAAATTGAGAAGTGTTTTGTAAAAAAAACAACATGTTATACATACTGATATTATTTATTAGATAGGTACATTAAAATGCATGAGAAATTGAGCACCTCATTCATTTTTATTTTAGGCATAATGAACAAACAGAATTCATTTTATTCTGCATTCAAGAATCATACATACACAAAAGCTACTCTTACTATATTGTCTTACATTTACCTACATCAAAGGGTTGGCAAATCTTATCTAATAAATTGCTTTGATTTATCATCAGACTTCCAATTGGAATATCTAAGTTAGTAAGTGAGCTCCTAAGTGAATTCTAATGATCGCGAGTATTTTTATATACAAATGTAGTGGGAATAAGTGAGAAAAGAATGTATAAGGCACATTCATAATTTCACTTTTTTCAACAGATCCTAAAATGCATTGGTTATGATTAAGGTCTAAGGATATCTTATGCTGCCAGTTCTGCTTTCAGTTCTTGAGCTTCCATGTTAGCTTTGGATGCGCATTTGAATCGTTTTTTCACTTCATTGTTCAGACTTTCTCTGTTCCTTGCTATCTCTATCGCATAAAACTGGACTCGAGGGACCAACATTGTGTTTTCCTCTGAGTAATCTCCTTTAGCATCCGCCCTCATTAGAGTCCCAAAACTATAGTCTTCGACGATGCTCTTGAATTTTTCACAGAACACTCTCCATTTTGCTTTGTTTGCATTATTTTTAATTTCGTTTTCTTTTATGTAGGAGACATCCAGGTCAGGGAAGTCTTGTCGGAAATGCGTGTAGATGAGGTCGTCGTGCGGCGTCAATCTAAGCCATCTGGTATCCACAGAGCAAAGCACCTGAAATCCATTCAAACCCTTGTGTGAATAAAAGCAAGTAGTTGAACTTAACCTTAAAAATTAGTAAATATTTTGATTGTTGCCTACGTTGAAATAAATATCGCTGTGCTCCATAGCTCTCGCGGCCCACAAATGCTCCAATGTTTCATCGTTACCAAATTCTTCCGCTGGACGTGACAATACATCCTGAAAATGTTTAAATGTATTTTAATGTGGCCATCACAACTTGGTATCAACAAACTATATCTACTTTATACCCACCATTTTTTTGGGTCTTTGGAAGTAAATATCAACGTAGAGTGCTGTGCAAGACAATACACAGTAAATTAATTGAGTTAATTCATTTATTTTTTGCAATTTCGCAAAATCGACGGTTCTGCTCGGAGCGGAGACCGATTTTTTTTCTAACACATTGACAGTTACTTTTTTAAATATTCCTATTTTAAAGCAAAGGAGATTTATTACCGTTATAATAAAAATAAATAACGTTATTAACGATTAAGAAGGTCATCAAAGATGGTTGGATTAAAAGCAAAGTTCTTTAATTGAAACATTGTTAAACAAATAAAATAAATAATAGAAAGGTATAAAACAAAAATAATCTTTCAAAAGTTAAAAAATCAAACTCACCATGGAGTCAGAAAAAATCTCGTAGTGGTCTGTAGTGGTATAACGTATGAAATAGACCAAGGAATATTCCATTAAAGGTGATTTTCTTTCTTTCCTCTTCAAGTAAAACGGCTTTTAATGCGACATAGACTACATAATTATAGATCGCGTAACGAAAGTTGAGGCGAAGCGAACACAATGTACCTATAATACTCACCAACACAACTCACTCACACTGATGATGATGACGTCAGCGCGACAAGCGTCAGACAAAAATACAAAATATCTTTACTTGTGTTGATGATCAACCCGTGCCTCCTCAACTCTTGTAGCGCGATCTAGCCGGGTTTCCGGCGCGTTTTTGTACAGTACACAATCAACAAAAACATGTCAGCAACAACAAAATTATCTACACAAAACTTGTTTCCACTTGGTATGGAAAGCAAAAAAATTGTTGATACAAACAAAAATGTGTATAGAAACCATGTTTTCACTAGACAATTTTGTTACAAGCCGGGTCTCCAATGCGTGTTCAAGAAAGAAACACTTGTTAATGAAATGAAAATTATGACATCATTCTTTTATAAATCATTGATTCAGTTACGAACTAGTCATTATTATTATTTTAATATTATTATGCAAGAAGTTCCTCAAACTTAAAAAAATGTTTGTAAAGTTCGGAATATTAATTTTGAATAAAAAAAAAAAGATCCTAAGAACGCGCCTTTTTATTTCAGACAAAGACAGGACTATATGAAGTGTTAGAGAGAAAACGAGCTAGCAATATTCGGAGAAATTCGTTTTGGCTTCGTTTCGTCATTCGGTGTGATTGGAGGGAAGTCGTAGAGGGTGGCGCATGCGCGTTCTGCCGACGCCATCTCTAAAAACTACTGTGCCTATTTTATGTACTTGTTACAAGAGTGAAATGGGCCTACAATCGTGATTTCTAGTGAATAAATCATGGAAATACTTTACCGTTAGTGAAGTGAAGAATTTATTGACAGTGTTTACGTAAAAGTGTCATCATTGTGATTCCGTCAACGAGTGGTATTATCTTGCGGAAGTTTCTTGGCCCACAGCATCGCATATTTTTTGCGGCTATCTCTACCACCGCCGCTACGCTGGACTCTTTTGATGGACTTTTGACGCCGGGACACCAAGTGGTAACTTTCCCAAATTACGTTTACTATCGATAATTATAGAAAGCGCATCTCAGCCGGGCTGAGTTATCTCCCTCCGCGTTCTTACGCCAGTACCTATACATTTATTATGTATGAATTATTGTTGTGGGTCAAAGACATTTTAGTGCGTTACTTAACGTATAGACAGACAACAACAACAGTCATAAAGGCGGCAATTTTGTATTTTTCAGTTTATGAACGTGCGCTTGGGTGCCGTCGGACGCGATTGATATGAATTCTGCTCTGAAGCCGGTACTGCCTCAACCGGGGGTACCACAGCCGGGCGGCCAAGCGAGTCCTGCCAAGGGGAACGTGGCCAGCATCAACCACCCAGTGGGGCTCCCGCAGGGCGCGCAGAACTCGCTGCATCACGGCACCAACAACCTCGTCGGACAGAACCTGACGCACCACGCGCCTGCTCCCGCGCCGCTGCCGCACGCCGTGCCGTCCATGGCCCCGGTCTCCGCCAACATGGCACAGATGGCACAGAACATGAGTCACCACGGCAACCTCTCCCACGTCACACAGAACTCCGTCGCTCCCCCAAGCATGGCCGCGAGCCCCAGCAAAAGCGCGAGCACCAGCGCGCCGCTCAGCTTAGTCCAGGACAAAGCTAACAGCTCACAACCTTTGGCGTTGACCCGAACGCCCGAGAAGAAGGAGCCCGACTCCACTGGGCAACCGAACGGAATCGAGTCTCCAAAATCAGGGGCGAACGCACCCGCCGCGTTGAAACCTCAAAACCCAGAAACGAACAAAGAAAAACAGGATATCGCCAAGACGTCACCCAGTACACCGAAGCCACCCGAAAAACCGAGCAGTGCTCCAAATACGCCACAGAAAACGGAAACTGCCAATCTTCCCGCTCAGACTGAAAGTCCGGTGCAACCTAAAGTAGCGACCGCCAATGAAGCGACAGAGAAGCCGGCGAAACCGACGGAACCTAAGCCAGCGCCGACGGCCGATGTCGCACCCACACAGAGTGATAGCAAGCCCGTACCGGAGTCAGCGAATGACAGTCAACTACAAGAAAAAGTGGAGAAAGCTCCTGCACCGACTAAACAGGAGGCTCCAGTAGCAGAAAGTGCAAAAGTAGAAAGTACCACTAAAACGGAAGAAAGCAAAGAAGTACCTAAAGAGGACAAGACCAAACAACCGCAGGCGAATGCTGCAGAAGAGAAAAAAGAGGAGGCTGGTAAACCTGATCCTCCAAAAGAGGAGCCTGTTGAAAAGCCACAAAAGGTTGAGCAGCCTCAGAAAGTTGAGGCTGAAGAGAAAAAAGTTGAAGAGAAAAAGCCCGAGACAAGGACTCCAGCGAAAGCAGAGCTGAAGGCGACACCAAAGTCAACGTTAAAGTTGGCTACGGTGACCCCACCCATGAGGAAGAGACGGCAGGCCTCCCCAAGTAAAGGCAGTGAAGGCCCCAGCTCTGCAAAGAAACCTATGGAACACGATTCTACTCCTGACCCCAGAACAAAAAGGAATCGGACTAAGGTTTGTACATTTTTTTTAAACTAGAATGTATAAATTTATAAGCTTGGCAAGGCACTTTTAATGCACATAATAATATTATAAAAAAGATCAATAAAATGTATTGTGTTATTTGTGTAAAAATAACCACCACAATTTAAATATCATCATCATATTTAAATAAAAATTAGAATAATTGCAGTAATTAACAAAATAATGTGACATTGTAGAAAGCATGATAATAAATTAGTAATGGTAGTCATAATGAGTAACATTTACACATGGATGTTTATTCTCATGCAGTCACTAATGCAGCAGCAGTATCAGTAATTGCCTAAAATCATTATTTTATTGTTTTATTGCACCGTGACACAAAATACTTTTACATTTTGGTAACATACTTTATTGTTACAGTTAGCATTTACTAATTAATTAAATACAAATACTAAAAATTACGTAATCAACTACATATACCACTAACTAAATTATGTAGCTAGTTTAACAAGTTATGTGAGTGTGTGATTTAATATGATTTAATAAGTATTATTTTCTATCAGTAAAGTATATTATTATTATGCTCCACTACACTCTTAAATGTTATATGTATGTAACAGCTGAACTTGTAAACCATTTTAAATCTGTAAATTGTCAAATACAGGTGCTACTATATCACAATTTCTAGTAATGAGAGCCTGTTTCCTATGCGATCAACTAATATTTCACAGGGACTTAATTCTCACAAAAATTGTAGGTCTGTACTATTTATTTATTAATATCTTGCATCACTATTTTTTATGCTGGCCTCATAATATGTAGTTATTAATAATTTGCACATGTAGTTAAAGTATGATTGTAGATTGTAAAAGTCTATTTATAAATTTTTATACCCTCAATATTGCCTGGAGTGTGGTGACGTCATATTCAGTATACCTTATCAGTACCAAAACAAATGATAATTTGTTAAGAGTAGTAAAGACAATAATATTTATTTTATAACCAATCCTATTTTGAGATAATAACAAATACGAGATGAGATGATGACTATTTTGATTCATTGTCATCAAAGATGGTTACATTGTTAGCCTTACAATATGATAGTAATAGCTATATTTTGTGCATATTTTCCATTTAACACCGGCGCTAGGCCTCAGTAATCACGCATTTGATGAGTGGCGCGTGCACTTTATGCGCGCACGGCTGCAACTAGCCAAATTGAACACGTCAAATGTGTTATGGCCCAGAAATTAGCACAATATTAGCAATATTTACACATTATTCAACTGAGTCACACTTTCGTAATCTGAATTTCAATGCATTCAACTTTAACAATGACGTCTGTAAACCTGTTAAATAAATTATTGATCTGTGAAGACGGAAAAAGGAATTTATATTCATTCCTTGCACTGTAAACACCAATAAATAAAAAAAGTTCTTGCTTTGAAATCTTGAAAATCAACTATACTATACTCTCACTTTATGTAACAGATTTAACTTTATACTTTGTATGATATTGTTAGTTAGAGACGTTGGGATTCTCATTTTATCAATTTGTTCATTTCCTTGCAAATATAAAAGCAAAGCTTACTTACAACCGTTTTGTCATATAACAATAATAGCCTTTTTTTATTCAGATAATATTACATTTCCAATAACCCTACACAGAATGCTTTCATGCATGCATCGACTACGTCATGTCACTCATTTGACAAAGGCCTCCGCTAACTGCCGCCATTTCTCTACCATTGGCTATTCTTGACCATGCCACCTGCTACAGCTTTGATGTCAATACACCGTCTAAATCAAGGCTGCTCAACCTTTTGAAGAGTCGGGCTAAACGGTGGATTCAGTCGTTATGGACGGGGCACTTACATTTCTATTAACTGACGATTTTGCTGTACTGCGACTGTATTTTTGAATTTGGTGCGTATTTTCAAACCTTACCTACTTTCACAGGCCACTTATAATTCTTTCGCGGGCCACCGGGCCTGAGGTTAAGCAGCCGTGGTCTAAATGGTCTACCTCGTTTCCTCTTGTCTCTCGTGTACCAGTTCCTGACTAGTTTTGACCATTTTCGCTTCCTCTAATTTAGCCGTTTGTTATAGGTGCAGCTATACCAGTCTCCCACTCCTGAGTTAGCGATGGCGACCAAGCTTTCCGCGTCAGCCGGCCGCTCTACGCCCACCAAACCCAACGACGACAAACTGATCGTCTTTTACAAGTAAGTAATGAGAGCCACATAGCTCGTAGAACTGATGGGCTCGTTGGTGTAGCAAAGTTCCCGAGTGGTGACTACAGACTGAAAAACAGTGTAGGCAGGCACCCCACTCGGTGGACCGATGACCTGGATCGGTCGGTTTAGGTATCCCTGGGAGTCTCTTTCCAGCATTTCTTTGAAAGGAGAATCCCCTAACTAATAAAAGTTACACGCTCGTTGAACACTAGTTTAAAGTTACGGTTAGTATAGCAATGTTATTTTAAACTACTGTTCAACATCTCTATAACTTTTTATTAGTAAGGAGGTAAATATTTTGTTTAGCAATATTCTGAAATACGACGTTACATTTCTGCCAACCCAGTTGACTAAAATAAGGATGATTTTAAAGTTAACTAATGCCCATTTTTCAACATCCATCCCTAATTTTTAAGTGACCCCTATGGTAACACATAACAGGCATTTTGTTTTCATATGGGTCAATTAAAAATTAGGGATTGATGTTGAAAACGTAAGTTATCTCAACAACCTACGTTTGTTAGATAAAAGCGTTTATCAAGCGCCCAATAGGGATGTTTCCTGGGTAAAAAAGCAAAGAGTTTTAATTAGTCCGTCAGTTAGCCTATCAAGAACTACTCGACACGTATTTTTCACTTTTTAAAACTAATGAAAATGTAAAGAGATAAAGCGTGCCAAAATTCTAAAGGAAAGGCCCGTGACGTCAGTGAGTGCGTAAAAGTGCAGCACTTTGTGACGTCGCGCGGCTCTTCAACGCACTATAACTTTGTAATTATTTGTTTGATTGACAATTCAAAATATACGTGTCCAATATTTTTTATATTAAAATTGACGGACTAAAAAAATTTTTTAGGAAACTAGCCTATTCTAATTTCCCATACCATTTCCCAGGAACGAATACTTAGCGGTGCGCAACGCAGAGGGCGGTTTCTACGTGTGCCAGGCCATGCAGAACGTCTACCGCACCACGCGCAAGATCAAGATCCGCTGGCTGTCGCAGGACAAGGCCGCCGACGCCTCAGGCGAGACCTACAAGCCCGACTTCTATGACGTCACTGGTCAGTTCATAACCTTGCTCCGTGATTTATTTTATTTATTTATTTAATTAAAGAAACATACAGCTTTTATATTATTACATATACTTAGGTACAGGAAAAGTTTAGCTTATATATGTCAACGTGAAATTGTGAACCTGTCAGTTTTTATTATAACGCGTTAGATTGTAAACTAACAGTGGGTTAGGTTAGGTTAGATTGTAATTTAACTACGTCAGATTATAATCTGACGGAATTCATAATTTTACGGTGACAAATATAAGCCAAAAAAGTTTCCAATGTTAGTTTGTCAATAGCAAAGACATATTATAAAAAGTTTCGTAGTAATTAGGTAATTTCGTTCGTTCGTTCGTTTCGTTCGTTTCAGCCAAATGACGTCCACTGCTGGACAAAGGCCTCCCCCAAGGTTTTCCACAATGAACGGTCCTGCGCTGCCCGCATCCAGGCTCTTCCCGCGACCTTTACCAGATCGTCGGTCCACCTAGTAGGAGGCCTGCCCACGCTACGTTTTCCAGCCCGTGGTCGCCACTCGAGAACTTTCCTGCCCCAACGGCCATCGTCTCTACGAGCTATGTGCCCCGCCCACTGCCACTTGATTTTAGCAAGAATTGCTAAATTTCGTTCATCAGAAACAAAATAATCCCACTTAAACGGGGTCGTGGTCAACCTTCTTAACATGTGAAGTAAAAACACGCAGTGAACAATTGAATACTGATACTTGAGCGCTAATATAGACCATTTCATCCACGAAGACGCGTCCCACCAATTTTTGGTCTCGGTCGCGCGGGGTGCGGCATTATTGTAGTGTGCGTGTGCACTCATGGATAATTTAGCGTGTACCGATAACACTCAAACATTAGCGGAAGAATGGTGGACCGCGTCTTCGTGGATGAAACGATCTACACCAACGTGTGTACACGATTTTGTCATCATTGGGAGTGAAAATAGACCCGCTTTTGAAAGATGCTAGCCGCGCGGCTTTGACCGGGTTTTTTCGGGTATAGAACGAACGAAATGAATATCGTTTTCGCTCATCGAAATTTATGCAAAAACCGTTAAAGAACATACAATAACGGTATTTTTAAACCGGTTCCGAGCCTTGCATTCACGTGTCCCTTGTCCACAGACATGGAATGCGTGCTGACCACGTTGAATGACCAAAATGATTTCAAAACCTTTTTTCCACCCAAATCGTGGTATCACAACAATTTATTAGTTGAAAATATTTGTTATTTTTTCATTTCGATATTTTTTCACAAATATACGACCTAAATGTCAATGTGACAGAACCCACAAAGTTGTGGACGCTAGTTGGCGCTGTAATCGTGCACGGAGCCAATAGAACGAAATTTATGCAATATAACATAACAATAACGGTATTTTTCAAACCGGTTCCGAGCCTTAGTCAAAGTCAAAGTCAAAATTTCTTTATTTGTTTAGACTAATAAATACATAGTTCTTACAAATCGTCATTTTGCTCTTAAGGAGCCTACATGTCATAATCTTTTTACCCTACCAGCGCTTCGAGACCAACATTTGGCAAGTGCTGAGAAGAAGCGCCGCAACAAACTCAGTCACCACTGTCTGCCGGTTAATATAAATAAATAAATAAATTCCTTGCATTCACGTGCCCTTTGTCCACAGATATGGAATGCGTGTTGACCACGCTATCGCTTCAGCGCGCCCCTGGCGGCGGCGGCGCGCAACTGCTCAAACCAGGAGAACAGGCGCGCGCCAAGTCCATCCTCGACCGCGCGCTCAAGGCGGAACAAAGCGGCGGGAACAACATGGAGGTCACCGAGGAACATCCTGACGGGCGTGTTTGTAGTTGTCGTCTAAACCGAATAGACTAACACCCGCATTCACACACGATGCACGCTTGAGTGAAGCAGCAAATCGAACGCACAGCGTTGAATAGAGCTCTGTGATTGGTTCGTGTCACCCTGTGCGTCCACGCGCACTATGAGACCTCATAGTAATGTTTGTGAATACAAGAGTTAGAGAAGGGCGTAAGAGTTGGTGAAGGTCTGGCGTTCACAAGCTCTTAGTCTAGATTCTAGACTAGAATGCAAACAGTGAACATTATTCTAGACTCTAGATGTTCACACACAAAAAAATCTTAGTTACTTTTGCATGTTTTTTTTTAAAGTCTTTGTGATTTTATAGGATTTTTTATTGTAAAACACAATCATATTAAGCTTTTATAAAAAAATCAGAGGTAACTTTAAGATTTTTTTCTATCTAGCAAAATTTTTTTAATCGTGTTTTTAAAACAGTCATCTCATCACACATACGTTCTGTAGTACATATTGAAAGTGTCAGTGCGAAATATCGTCAATTCTTTAGTGCTTCAACCACACCAACGCGTGCAGATCGCCATCGACCGGCGCGATCATAGGGAAATGACAGGTCGCGTGAACTGTCATGGGTCGCGCAACCTGTCATTGGCCTTTGATCGCGCCGGCGATGGCGATCTGCACGCGTTAATGTGGTTGAAGCTTAGTAACAGCTAAAACCCGGTCTGTGAGCACGTAGAATTTTGTCCAATGACCCCAAGCTACACATCCTTATCGCTCGCGCGTAATTTATTGCTGTCGCGACTGTGCGACGGGCGCCCGCAGTGAGTGTGTGAGCGCGACAGCAACATAATTACGCGCGAGCGATAAGGATGGGTAGCTTGGGGTCATTGGACAAAATTCTACGTGCTCACAGACCAGACTATAATAGAAAACAGTCAATATTGTCGTTTTCACTTACTAAGGCCCCTTTTGCAGAGGCCTCGTCGCTGCACACGTGCGATTGTCGCCACTATCCTACAGTTGTTAAAGCTTATGTTCGCTTGCAGTGGACTTGTCGCTGTACACGGACGAGTCTCAACTAGAGAAAGGCCGCAAGCGAGGCCGCCACGCCTCGCCGCGCGCTCGCGCCGCTCCCGAAACTCAGGTCAGTTGTCTCGCTCGCACTTGGGCAGTTAGGCGATCACTTGTCTCGCTCATCAGTGCCGTAACTAGCCTTTTATGCGCCCGGTGCGAGCTTTCAAAACTGCGCCCTTGAAAAATGCTTGGTCTGGTCATTTCTGCGCCCCTCCAGGGTCTGCGCCCTGTGCCTGGGCACCGCTGGCACCGCCCTAGTTACGGCACTGCTCACACTGAGACCTAGGGTTTTCAAAGACTACACATATCATATCATATTCATTGTGGGGAATTTTCTTCTCAAACATAACATATTCACATCGTTTGCCAGTGGCGTAACTATACCATCCGAGGCCCGTGGCAAATGGACAATTTGACACCATTCTCCAATAATTCGAAATCACAACCTGTAAATTACGATTTTTGGTCGCATTGTAATTGAAAAAAGTAGTATAATTGAGTTGACAAAATAGTGACGTCACTTGCTTGTAGTGTAGTGCCATACAATATCTATGGGAGTTTCGTTTTGACAGTTTTAAAAAGTACGTCAATTGATTGGTGGTGTCAACATGTCTATTCTGTGCATGGGGCCCTTGGCGTATCTAGGGTCTTGGGCCAGGGTCCCTCAGGTCGTGGGCCCGTGGCATTTTGCTAGCCCTGCCGCCTGCCACCCTATAGTTACGTCACTGTCATTTGCCATCGCTTATCTCGCTCACACTAAAACATTTCAAACACATTTGCACCTTCGCGTCGATATGCTTTGGACACATTGGGGCAGTTTTTCGAACTTCACATTCACATCATATTCACAAATTGCCGAGTACTCAGTCAAGCGTTTTCATACTTATACATACTCATATTGTTGCCTCGAATACGTACACTAAAGTCCCTAGACAAAGTGACATACGCAATTCCAAAATCGCTTCACAAACTTGATTAGTTTAATTTGCAGAACTCAGCTTGAGAACTTAGTGCAGGGTATTTCTCATTTCCCGTTTAAAGGCGTGTGTACTGTGTGAGAATTATCGTGAGGAGGCCTAGGTAGTGGAAACACCTGTGTTCATTTAATTCGTACGTCACAAACCTGTGGGTCTAGACAAAGTGCAAATTATAATCGCAAACCAGTCGAAAAGTGGTCGAAAAGCCCCTTTTTTGTATGGAGTTTTGACGGATTCGATTTTCGATTCGATCAAAAAGTGCGTTTTGTCTAGGGGGGCTGAACTATTCATAAATTCATCTATACAATGTCACTTTCGATGGATTATGCTAAACAAAGCCGCTGCATACGAAAACATGACGCACGAGTTGTGATAAATGCCTATTGTGACAGGCTATTCCGGGATAAATTGATTTGACTTTCAAAACCAATGCGATCTGTATAATGTCACATTGGTGTACTGTAAACAGCGCATTAGATTTAGACTACATTTTCCTTGAAAAATTGACACCATTGTAATTAACCCCTGCAGCAGATTACTTTTCAATAATCTATGAGTGATTAGCAGGCGCTTGAAATAGGTACCCACTGGAGTTCAAAGGCTTAATAATTATAAGATGCCGGTGTTTAATCTGTCAGACGAACGACACATCAAGCTCTATGCTTATATGAGGGACGGTTTTGCAACAAAAACGTGTTATAAAGTACAGGTTAAGAAAATCCTTATGAAAAAAGGATACTATAAAGTAAAAGATTATTAAAATGACAAGAGTGCGTGGATTTTACCTGCCTAGATCGCACTTATTGCGTGTCATGTAAGCTATAAATTAAGAGAGGCTGACGAAGGTGACTGAGTTTCTTTCGCCACTTCTTCTCAGCACCAGCCCATATGTTGTCCCGAAGTTGTGGTAGGGCAAGCTATATTTGGGACGTGTATAAGTGCCCTGGTAAGGGCCTATGTACTGGATAAACTATTTGAATTTGAATTATTAGCCTGATCAGCTGTGGTCTGAGGGCCTAGTGTGAGTTTACATCAAACGACAATGTATGACGGACAGCGCGACAAAAATAACAATGTATGACGGATTGTACAGCGCCCCTAGCGGGAAACGTTCAAAAGCTAAAATTTTCATACATTTTTAAACGAGCTCACTAGTGAGCACTTAGCCCACTGTACAACACTTGATCGTGTCCATTTCTTGCAGACGGAAGCGGCATCGCCCGCCAAAAAGGCTCGGACGACGCCAAAGCGTAGCCCGAAAAGCGTTCGCAAAGCGAAGCCGAGCCCGCCCAAAACGCCAAACAATAAGCGGAAAGCGTCAGGTAGTACGCCCTCAGTGGCGGCCACTAGCAAGGTAGGCATAGTACAACGGATATATAGAAATGTACGTATCCGCAATCATCTGCCATTTACATTCATGTCCGAGAGTGAGTAAGGTGTGCGTGCGCCGTCTCGTTCGCGCACGCTTGCCGCGCGAGCGGGACGGCTATATGTCTGTTTATTTCGTTTTCTTTCATTGCTGATTTTGTAATTTGTGCTAGCAGTTTCTTTTTACGATTCGAAAANTTTGAAAATACAACACACTGAACTCAATAAAAAAATAAAACAACTGTTCTATTTTTTTTTATCCACAACGAGGAAGCTCTTGGCCTGTATCTCACCTGATGGTAAGTGATGATCAGGCCGAAGGTGGAAGCGAGCTTTACCCGGAATTCTCGACCACGAAGGAACTGGCTATCTTACCTCTAACTGCCGGAACACAACAATGCTGTTAACATTGTTGTTATAGCGATAAGAACGCCTAAATTGTGATAAACCTACTGTTTTGTTTTTTTTGTAATTACTGGTTTTGGTAATTACCACTGTACCATCATGTTTAGTATTGTAACTTGATTGGTTACAAGAAAATGGAACGATTTTAACTCAATCATATTAACTTTTAATGTCTTTAGACCTTGAAATAATTCAGGAATGCCAACAATATTGATATTATTTTAAACGAAAATCTTTTCAAGATGTAATTTTTATTTTTTTTAAATCTTCGTTATTATTTAAAAGATACTGCTAGTAACGTTGAATAACTTTAGTAAATTCCTTAAAAATGGTTAAAAATAAACAGACGAATGCGTAGATTGTCTTTGTTTCATGAAAGATTTTTATTTAAATTGTTTTGAATGAGTTGAATGAGAGATTGACTGTATATTATTTTATGTATTGTTACAATATCGGTGTGCATGCCCGAATATTTTTGTATATTGAATATTATGCAACTTAAAAGTTTCAGTATACAATCTTCAACCTTATTTTGATTGGGTCAAGGTATTATTTTTTTATTATTCGCAGTCATACAACACGCAGATTCCATTAAGAATTTATAAGGCAGTTAGGGTTCTCAACTTAGATTTATTTACTGATATCGGTGGAAGGAAACCATAATTTGTCATGCATGTTTCCTACAGCCCTGCTGGATCAATTTATCTAATAGTGTCTTGCATGATTTTATCAATCAATTGTCCACTTCTAACCCCAAATTTAGAGTGAAAACGTAGTAGGCTAATTATTAATTTGATAAAGTATTGAGCCCAAGTTAATTTATTTACACATTATAAATAAATATGCAATTTTGCTACATAATTTATTCATGAACGTATTTATTGATTTTATTAAACAACAATCTTCACGAAACCATAATATAGGCAGAAATGGTTGTGATATTAGGTGTTTATTTAATACTTGAGTAAAAAGTAGCTACCAAGTATAAAAAAAATTACATGAAGACAGCCTACTACGAATTTACGAAATGTTATTAGATATAACTTGTCTTCTCTATTAGGTCTCAAAATAACTACTTCACGTCATATCCCATCTTCATTCATTCTCATTACTTGCTTTTTGTGTTCGATTTTACATTTCTTTCCAATTTTTTTATTTTTTAGCCTTATTTCTTCGATTATTTGCAATATTATCAATTTAAATATCTTTTTATGCATGCTATATTGCATGAAATATTTTTGGTGTTAAATTTATTAAATTTTATTGTTTATTATGGTTATATGGAGAAAAGTATTGAAATAATATTGGTTAAAGAGTAATTTAATGAAAATATTATTCAAAGAATTTAACAGTTACTTGATAAACTGAGATGAAAAGTCCCTGTTAGAATAAATGTTTGGTGTTTGAATGTTTTGATGATAAGTGACTATTTTAAGGCATTGCTTTTAACTTTATCAGAGTACATTGCGTTTATTACTGTCTTGAGTGGTTACAATTACAGTTTTTTATTGTATAAAGATTTGTTGATTTTCAATAAAATTGACAAAAATAAATGAATTACATAAGAAGAGATAGATAGCTTGAGCGTGCTCATTTTCTACTTAACTATGAACTTTTCATATAATGTTCATGCTTGCATAGAGGATGAACATGCACAAACTAAAAATCTCAAATCAGGAACTGGCTCATAGATTCTGAAATCCACATGCTCAAATCCTCCAATTCTGCTTGAAATTGAATCGCGTTTTCTGCCTCTAATACGCAACTCACGTTAAACATTGCCTTGATAATGCTCACTTATCGTCACACCACAACCGCGCCGTACCGCACTGTATGACCAGCAGTCACTTCCACAGACGGCCACAGCGGTGACGGAAAAGGCTAAGCCCAAGGCGACGCCGCCCAAGCGCGCTGCCAAGCCGCCCAGCGAGCCCGCCACGCCGCTGCGCAAGGGCAGAAGGAGCGCAGCTAAAGGTACGTAGAATTATATGCTTGACGTCACAGCCTTGAGCCCCTGATGTGATGAATAAATAATGCACAACGGAACAATCGATACGTTAAAAAAGCCAAACAAAATTTTATTTACGGGCTGGAAGACGTAGCGTGGGCAGGCCACCTACTAGGTGGACCGACGATCTTGCGAAGGTCGCGGGAAGATCCTGGATGCGGGCAGCTCAGGACCGTTTATTATGGAAAACCTTGGGGGAGGCCTTTGTCCAGCAGTGGACGTCATTTGGCTGAAACGACGACGACTATTTATTATTAAATATTCGATTTACCACTGCTGGGCAAATGTTTCCAACTCTATATCCAATGCCACGAAAGTTAGTCACTTCTGTAGCCTTCTTAATTTATGTTGTCTATCTTAAACAAAGTAACCTCCGTGACATGTTCAATTTTGCGATCGCTTCGCTTTGCGAAAAATACTTCAAGCAAAATAATTAAAAATTAAATAACTGTCATAAAATGTGGCCTTGTTTAAAGATCTTTTGTATCTTTATTGTTCAATCGAATGCATTTAACATATTGTTCAAATGTTCCACAGAGAACAAAGCATCGCCAATAGTGCCGACGCCTTCCACGTCAACGGGCAAAAGCAGCCGTACGCCGCGGAAGCCGCCCGCCAGGAAATAATACGCGACGCGCGCGCGCACCGCGCCCCGTGCGTGACGCCGGCGCCCTGTGTCACCCCCGTGGACGATACGACAATAAACTCCACCAGTCGTGTGAGTGACTTCATAGTTACGCGTGTGACGTCATCCAAATCACGCCCGTCGAGTGCATAATAAACCAATCAAATGTCAGTCATGTGAGTTTTGAAGCTACGAAATGTCTTCAGTCTATAAGTCTGGTCCGTGAGCACGTAGAATTTTGTCCAATGACCCCAAGCTACCCATCCTTATCGCTCGCGCGTAATTATATTGCTGTCGCGACTGTGCGACTGGCACCCGCAGTGAGTGTGCAACGCGATAGCAATATAATTACGCGCGAGCGATAAAGATGGGTAGCTAGGGGTCATTGGACAACATTCTACGTGCTCACGAACCGGGCTTTAGAATTAAATCAAAGAAAATGATATTTTTATCCTTACAGGGCTCATTGTGACTTGATATTTTTTTTAACATCTATGTATAACAACAAGATGCAATTAATTAATATGAATATTCAAATATAAATCAGTCATGTGAGTGAAAAAGTGCTGAAAAGAAATGCTGGATCAAACAAAAATCGTAACGTTAAAAAAGTGACCGAATTTATTTTATTATTTTTTAATTATTTTGTATTGTTTTATGTGCGTAATGAATTTAACCATAATAACACACGTATTTTTAGCTTAACACAGGTTTCAAGAATCGAACCATGTGCCAATAACATCGGGAACTAAATTAAGTTCTAAAGTTTGGCAACTTCATGTCTGTATTAGGTTGTGAGAAAATATTTAAAATTTTAATTTATTGTACTCTGATTTTATACACAAGACTGGGAACGTCATTTTATTGTTCACTTTATTGTCGTATTGTCTCCAACCTGTAGATTGGTGGAGTTATCTTTTAGAAGTCGATTCTCTTATACATACTCGTAAAATCAAATCAATTGCATCTTTTCTATTATTCGAAATATTGTATTGTATGTGCTCTGTGGAAATAATTATTTTCCGTCGAGTCGAGATCTCTCGGGCAGTGGATTTTGAGGAAATGAAGTCCGCCTAATGACGTTTTACGATTTCTATTGGTCCTTTTAGTTTTTGACAAATCCGCTGACTTGGAGATCACCGGCATATTAAAGGTGTCCACGCACCTATTATTCGAACCCACCAGATAGGTGACACAGTTGGCTATATGTAATATGTCAGTCCATAAGTGAAACGAGAGTGAGCCGTGTTAGTCTTTCCGTGATCACTGTAAAAGTAAAAGGGATAGCGAAACTGAGTAAGTTGGCAATATGAAGAACTATGTAATTGTGAATCCGTTATATCCATCTGTATCGAGACTAAGTATGCTAGTCTGTGCTAAAGCCTGGTCCGTAAGCACGTAGAATTTTGTCCAATGACCTCAAGCTACCCATCCTTATCCCTCGCGCGTAATTATATTGCTGTCGCGCTCGCACACTCACTGCGGGCGCCCGTCGCACAGTCGCGATATGGATGGGTAGCTTGGGGTCATTGGACCATATTCTACATGCTCACGGACCAGGCTTTAGTAATATTTTATTTTTACCGTGAATGGAAAACGGGTGGCGTTAGAATAAGTTATAAGTCTGTAAAGTGTTTCGTTCACAAATGTTTGGAATATTAGACTATATCGGATTAGTTTTTAAGACCAACTTCAAGGAGTAGTTGTCAATTTTTATATCGGCTTATAGTTTTTTAGAAAGCTAACAATACGAGTAATCTTCTCAGGTGTTTCGTAATTTTTAATAATTTTTATATTAAATCTAAATTAATTTTTAAAATTTTACAACATTATTTAGTTTTATCAATATTTTTTTGAGGATGCGAGTCGAAGTTATGGCTGTCGCATAGCGGGGTTTGATGTTGCAATCACGTTGGTTTACAAAAAAAAAGAAAAACTAGGAATGGGTGTTTAATATTACAGACTTAAACTCAAAAAGTGAAACATGTTCTGGCGATTAAGACCTAGGAATACAGAATGTTACTTGGTCTTTGTTATGTACTCAGTCGTTACTTTGTAGAGAGAACACATACTGTAAAATAACGAAAAAGTAACATTCTGTTAGGGCCACACCAAATGTGCTGCTAGTTTTAGCACCTGCTTTCGGCGAATTCGTGACAACTAAACATGATTCGCTGTAGCTGATGCTAAACGTATAGGTTTGCCCTAATATGGGCACAATTAACGCATTTTTGTATGTCTGTATTAACCATTCGATCGGGAGTTAGTGGCACGCGTTGGCTCTTACCTCTTTAAGTACGTTAGTCATATTGATAGCACAATACTGTGTATTCATTTTCATGTTTCGTATAAGTTATAACTATTTCTAAGATCGACTATGTTCAAAATAGCGAGGGCTCCGTAAATGGAATTGTATTACAATATTAAAATTTTAATATCCTCATGTTATAATAGAGAGATATATAAATAAGATTTATTAGCACACTGTCTGCTCAAAATTAAATTTGATTATTTACGGAACCACACATACGAGTATGTTGCCATTAATAATATTTTCTTTTTAAAAAGATTTATATTGAAAAGTTATGCAAGTTGAAGGCAATAAAAATATTGTAATATATTACTAAGTGTAAATGGATACAGAAATTTTACCACCAAAAACGCTAGAAAGTGATATTTACACTGAATTCATGGTATGGTAATGATGTAGTTTGTTTGCAACTTGAAATAAGCCGTTTTAATCCATCAAAGTACATTACAGAAATAGAATATTGTGTAATATTTTCCAAATGCGTTTTATGTGACTTCATGTAATGTGCATTTTCATTGTGCTGACTATTGTAGCGTTTGCAACCGTTTTCATAATAACTATTTTATTTGTATGACAAAAATATTATGAATATTGTACTAATTCATAGTTGGCTAAGTGTGGGGTTGCGCAAGGCTCTGACCGTGTGGCCTTAGTGAACGTTGAGCATCACATGTCGACATATTTCCAAGTAGAAATACAAAAGTGAATTGAATAAGTTTAATTTAACTAACATAAATAAGTAATTATTAAATCTTTAGAACTCTAGTGTTCACTGTAAATATTTACAACTAACAAGAGTGTTAACGTTTTATCGTTGCGACGTCTATGGAGTGAACCCTCTTGCTATTCCTGAAGCGGCTGGAAACTTATTAGTCGAGTGTGTGGTACATGCCGCGACTTGTTGTAAGCGCCATGTTCTGGATACAGGATTTACTCCATACACTGATTGTTCGCAACCTCGTTTATGGAAAGTTGACGCGGTATATTTACCACTGTTGACTTAGGCAATAGAGTAGATGTTTTCATTTTGTAAGTTTAGGCTAAATGTGTTGAATACGTAAGTATTCTTTTAGATATTGCGACGGAATCTTGTATATCAGTACAAAGAATTTAATACTATCAAAGTGTTTTATCATTGAATGTTTTGGCTTCACATAATAAGAATATATTTTGATATGATCAGTGTTTATTTTAAGAATATTGTAGTGGATTGTGGAATAGTTTTAATGAGTTTTGATTGCAAACGCAAATGTTTAAAGGTAAAATTTTTATAATGTATGATTTTTATCACCATGTCTGGACCAAAATTCCATTGTAAACTCTTCAATGCACTTCGTGAGATCATGTACAGTTGAATACCAAATGTTGTTGCACTGCCTACTGTAAAAATCATGGAGTAAAACTTATAGATAAATCAAATCTATTTACTGCTAGAGAAATTAGCAAACTTTTATTGAATATTAAATGTTGCTCATTTGCTAGGGGTTCCGTGGAGTTTATGTACTTGTTTAATTGATGAAGTAAGAAATAGTAATATTGAAGTAAAGAGAGGTAAGTTTCAAGAGTTCTACGGAATCCTATTATTAGGAGGTGCCAGATATCTTTTAATATTTTTGTTGTAATCACTTTCGCCTGCGTTAGTTTGTGACTGTTTCCTCGACATTGAAGCAGACGTGGCCTAGGTTTGTTGTTTTCCATTACCTTTACTTTGTTAAACCGAGCTCATCCGAGCGCGCGCGTGTGTGTGAATCGATTAGAAAATTTAAGTACCTACATTTTAGGTAGTATTTTTAAATAGGTTAATTCTGTGGAGAAATAAGTTTAGATTATAAATTATTGTGTGTGCATTTTCTGTTTATAATGTGTACCTATGTGGAGAGAATGTTTGCGACCCTGGCCCTCTCGGCGAGAGTAACAATAGTTGTATTGTAAAACATATTTTAGCGTTTTATACAAAAGATATCAGTTTGAGAGTACTATTGTAACAGAAAGTCCACAAATTTATATGCAATTCAGAATTAAATATAATAATTTAAGAACATTATTGTTTTTATTTCTTAGAATTAAAAGTATTAAAAGTTACCCCCCTCTTATCTATTTAATTGAAGAATAAGTTTGGCACATTTTGTTAGGGTATTAATTTATTTTGGACTACCGAGAATCACATTCTTTTTTCCCCTCATGCCATATTTGCAATAGAAAATGCAGAATATTGTTATTCATTATCAACCACCTGCCCTTCTAAAATGTTGGACATACGCTTGATGGGCTGTGGGTTTAAACATATATACCTGCTGGTGACATCTCTACAGCTATTATTTATGACGATCTCACGCGGGTAAAGAAATGAGGAGAACCAAAGTAACCGACATAGCTCGCAGAATTGCTAAAATCCAGGGCAGTGGGCGGGGCACATAGCTCGTAGAGACGATGGCCGTTGGGGCAGGAAAGTTCTCGAGTGGCGACCACGGGCTGGAAGACGTAGCGTGGGCAGGCCTCCTACTAGGTGGACCGACGATCTGGTAAAGGTCGCGGGAAGAGCCTGGATACGGCAGAAAACCTTGGGGGAGGCCTTTGTCCAGCAGTGGACGTCATTTGGCTGAAACGAACGAACGAAAGTCGCGAGCAAAAGCTAGTTATGATCATGTTTAATATGTGTTTTGTGTAAAGTATGTGCATGTGGATTGAGTGATCCTTGCTTCAATCTTAACAAAAAATCGAGGAAGAGTAAAGTGGCTTGTATGGTTTTGGTTAAGAAAGGGAGAGGCTAGCTACAGACACAATTCCGACACCTATCTATTGTTGTCTACACCTTTTCTATAAAGGTTCAAAAACACTTAGGCCTCAAGTAAAAAATCTTTTTCAAAAGGGTTCCAATGAAAATACCAAATGCCTTTTTACGTTTTTTATTTCTTATAATCTATGTGTTCACGAGGTTTCCATAGCTGTGGCGGTTTCCTCAGTGTATTTGCCCTTATCCTTGCCAAGGGCGGCCAGCCTGCCCTTCGCTCTGCGGTCAAGGATGGCTTTTCTGTCCTTGTTCATCTTTAGTTTGACAATCACACACTGTAAAAGAATACAAACATACAATTTAGTATCAGGCGAACAAAATAGACATAAATACGTGTTAAGACGTAATGTCAGAGCCATGGAAGTGTTTCAGCATTGTTTGTGCCCATTCTTACGTCAGCCATACATAAATGTCAGGCTTCAGTAAGATATGAAAACACATTCTAAGGGAAATGTTATCATCATTTTATACAAAACAGCATGTTTTAAAAACCTAGTTGATGTATTTATGCACAGCTAGTATCTTTGTTATTTAATCAACTAATTTAACAATCTATTCCTCACAAATTAGTACCTACCTATGTAGTATTTAGAGAAGTGGAATAATTTCCATTACATATTGCCATACGATATTGAAAGCTACAACTATGATTATACTCATTTAGGACAGGGGGTACCCTTAAATTATACTGAAGCTTAAATTTATAAAAAAGAATAATTTTCACCATCAATCCCTAATTTTTAAGTGACCCATATGACAACAAAATTCATATTATGTGTTACCCTACGGGTTACTTAAAAATTAGGGATTGATGGTGAAAACAATCATTAGGCACTTATTCTCTCCAATACAAGCAAGGATTCTACTAAACCCTTGACCCAAAGTACGAATAATGATTACTTTGTCATAACAACTAGGATTTAAATAATTTGACAAGCAAGTCATCATCAAATTAATTACCTAAATAATTGATATAAAAATGATTTATTTACCTTTGAGGGGTGGATACCAACGTATGCGGTGGCACCGTTAGCCTTCTCACGCTGGATCCTTTCAATGTAGACGACGAACTTCTTACGGTATACTTGGACTACTTTGCCTACTTGCTGGCCTTTGTAGTGTCCTCTGACAACCTGGAACAAGATGTGTTTTATGTATTACACTTGAAACAACTGCTTAGTTATAGGTTATAGTCTTCATGATAAATATGCTAAAAAACTGTATTGATTCATTATAAAAAACATTATTATCACATGTTTGACCAAAGTTTAGTGATCGTGACTAGTTAGTCAACATAACTATATCAAAATGCGACCATACAATGAAGAAGTTAGACAGTTTTTATCACATGTTAATTTTGTATAGTTGAGGCAAAACAATCAGAGCCATATTTTGAACCATGGTGTGGTCCGGCAAGTTCAGTGCAGAGTTCACCAAAGAAAACCTTTAGTTCCCTCCACAAAGAGCAGCGAAGTCCACAGTCTGTGAATGGTTTGTCTTCATCATTTCATTTTGCACTCAAATACCATTGTGATGTTTGTAAACTAACCTCACTTTTATTGTTATTGATTATAATAAATCTACAAGAATTCATAATTTGCTCACCTGAACTTCGTCGTCTTTACGGATTGGCATAGACTTAACGTTGAACTTCTGTCTCAGCTCTTTGGATAGCGGAGCGGACATGAGCACTCGTCTGATGTGTGAAGGGGCGCTGAAATGCCTCTTCCTGTTTTTCCTCCTCGAGGAAGTCACGAGCTTATTGTACTTCATTCTGGCGCTCTTCACTGTAAAACCAAACACCACGTTACTTGACAATCTTGAAATAATTTAGGTTATCGGCCCCTGCGTGCTAAACGTCAATTTACAGCGGCGATTATTTGGAACACTGATTCTCGTAATATGAAAAATATCCATCGTAAATGACACTAAATATCTTTAGAAACAACACTTTAACGAGATATTAACAATTTATCAGAGGAAATCCAAGATTTTTATGGATAAAACGACGTACCCGAACGACACGGCAAAGAACCGAAATAAAAAGAAGTATACAACGGTGTTGCCCGCACAAGAATTTAATGCACCAACACAGCGAATCAGTTTATGTAAAATTGTGTTAATTTTCTAATAATAGTATGTTTAACGATATCAAATATATTTAAATTAATAATTATACTTAATAAATTGTAAATGGATGTAAATAAATCAAGTTTTAATAAACTTTTAGGAATATCATAATAAACAGATTTTTAGTGTGGTAACATCACTGACTACTGTCACAATAAAAAACGTTCCGTCCAATGCAGAAATGTTTGATGTCTTGTAACAAATAAATATGATCGAGAAAATAAAATTATATCATGTTTTGTTCTAAAGGTCGCGTAGCGAGAGATGAGGATATTAAATCAACTTACAAAAATTCATTAGTCTGAAGTTGCTTTTTGTATCGCTGCAAACGATATGATAGTGATCCAAAAGTAAGATAATTATCTAGCCAGTGAATTTCTTTGTTTTGTGAATGTGAAATTTGAAATGCGTAATGAAAGCGTTTCTGTTCTGTATTCAAATATTACATCAGTGTGAATACGTACTTGCATTGTCACTAAAGATAGTTATTAATATTATTTTAAACTATGATAATGCATTTTTACTACAATTTATTATCACTGTCAGTGTCGGACTGAGACTGTACCACTGACGAAATTTGTGAAAATGCGGGTGGATGAAGAAAATTCATCGCGCCCGAGCAGACGACGCCGCATCTCTTCAGTCTGCCCCACAGATTAGAGAGTATGTCTACTCTAAAGAGTCTGCCCGCGACCGTGACTCGTGAAACCGAGTTGAAACGGTCGGGAGGGTAAAATATTGATTATTAATTGTGGCAGTGATAAAATATTGATTATTAATTAAAATGTCAAGGATATTTATTTATTTATAAATTGAGTTTCGATTCACGGTTTTTCTAAGCCTACCTACTATTGTCTATAATGTTGTTTATGAAGTTTACCGTAAGTTTTACTTACCAACGACGCGCGACGTTTACAATGTCACTCCTTTTATCATTTTAATTTAAGTAGGTACGAACACTTAATAATGCACTTACCGTATGAATAAAGAAATAATTTTACAATTTACCTAAACTGAAAACTAATTTTCAGGACTGGAGAGAGAAGTTGCGTCCGTCTGGGAAGGCTGGAGACTGGATAGAGAAGATGCTTCAGGGACTAACTGTCTGCCGTCCAATCACTATAATGCCGTTAACCCACAATTGGTCAATTTTGACTTTTGAATACCATCCGAGTCAGAAAAAAATGCTTAATCTAGCACTATTATCGAAATTTTTATATCTTGTTTAGTTCCTGAGATAAAAAAAATAAGAAAGCCGCTAACTGCTTCGCCTCTGCAAGATTACATAACTAAAATGCAGTTACATTACATTTCTTAGCTTAAACGCGGTTAAGCGTCTTTAATTGTTATTAGAATTTAAAATTTAAGAAAAATTACAAAGCTTTATTGCCGTTATTTACAATTTCTAGTCAATACAGCCGTCAAGGTACTNATATATTTAAATTACAAATTACTCTTTTACTTTTGAAACAGCGAATTTTTTTAAATTCTCGATCTTTAAACTCGTTTTTCTCCGAAAGTGGTTTTTGCACTTAACGGCGTTATAGTGATCGGACGGCAGAACTGTTGGCGTCCATTCAAATTCTACTGGGTAAGTACGTACTACTAAGTTTTATTGTAGTGGGAATGCAAATATCTCTTAGATACAAACAATAACTCGTACTCGTATGCAAAATTGGGATTGTTAGTGTCATTATCTAATGTAGGAGCGTCTAAAACTTTCCGGTCCATCTGTTCCGAGCTTAATTTTAAAATATGTAAGCGTAAGTTCGTTGTGGTGAATCTTAAGAATTACTAGGTAGAGGAAGGCTGTTTTAGTACTTACGTTGTTTTTTTGCACTTTTCAACCATAAATTACAGGTATAGCGCGTCGTTTGTGTAGGTTCCTGTAGTTATGAAGCGATATCAAGAGAGGTTGTTTATTAAATATAGTTACAACCAAATTTTGTTACATAGATCGTTAGCGAGACTTTGAATATACGTAGGTACACTATACTGCAGGTAATAGGTTCATTTTTTGATTTGATTTTAATTTGAAATACTACTCGTTTTACCATGATAGCTCTGTTATGTCACCCCTCTCGCATAAGTAGGTCCACCAACCACCGCATAATAAACCTCAGTTAGTTATAGGTACCACATGTTATACTCTATGCCTGTACATACAGTGAGCCAGGGCCACAGGTCCAGAGGTGCGATTGTGCAAAATTATTATAATTACTTATCTTACGGGAACGACACAATTGAATAGTTAGTCGAAGTTGAATATGTAACTATGAGTAATTACCTACGTTAGAGTTGTCTTAGCGCCAATTATAAAGGTATACCTACCTATTGTTCGTTACCACTTCTCTTGGTTCTATCAAGCCAGTATTATGCAGCTGTGTTTAAAAATATCGTACAAGTCACTTTAATTAAAGCATTCATTAACATGTTGAGTCGTTTCCACAGTTCGTTAGTAAACCGCAACGTGTGACGGCAAAACCTTCATTATTTATTCTATGGCATTAATGATACATGTACCTATGGTTCATATAACTCTTTTTGATTTGTGATCATCTCGAATCCAAAACTTAGTTGCAACAGTTTGGAAAGGTATTTCTCTTAGGGCCCCCGCCCCCGGCGACTTGCAGTCGCGCTGCTGTAACGCGTTAGTAGCGCGTTGGCATCACTAATGCTGGATTTCTATATTCAATCCTAATCCAAATTATACGGATTTGGATTGTCAACTGTCAAATTTTAATATGTTTTTGGCCAAAATAACTGCGGTTTTTGATGTTTTCACATTTTTAAATTGTTTATAAGACTATTTAAACAATATTAAAGTGTAAATGCATCGAAAAATTTGGAAATATAATCTAAAACTGAATTCAATTTGACAGTTGTAATCCGGATTTGGACAAGGATTGAATATGGGAATCGGGCGTAAGTGCGTTGCAAATGCGACTAACGCGCGTTAGAAGCGATGCGCGAGTTAGTAGTTAGTAGTCGCTGTGGGCGAGGGCCCTTACATGCACCATGATAGAAACCGTGAGGGTTTGTTCCCACGGAGACATTGAATAATACACTTTTTTACATGATCCCGTTTTGATATTATATCGTTTACACGAACATCCCGTTTGCTGTGTCCCGTAAAAAACCGATCCGTTCCAATTTGTAATTCGAATTTCAAACACACATATTATGTGTCCCACGACAGTTTTGCATTACTGGATCCCGCAGAACTGGATTGCCGTGAGACCGAGCCCTAATAGTTAGGTGTTACAATATTATGTAGGTAATTGATAAAACGTTATATAAAGCCTACTCAGCTTGTACCTACTCAAGCCAATGAAAAAGCATAATTAAACGGAGACACTGAAGGCATATCATCCCCCAACAGATCGAATAACGACTGGGTTAACGACAGATCCGTCGCGACCGGAGATTCTGCGACGTCACTTATTCAATATCCTACTTTATTGCTCGCGACAGATCGCGCCGTTCAAAACATGGCGGTCCAAACCGATCCTGTTTGCCGTATCACTGGTCGCTATCAGTTTACCTACGACCTTGTGACCTCTGAGTAGGCATGCCCTACCCGGCAGAATGCGTGGCCCTCCAAAACAGAGGGAGCTACTGTGCCCTCAACGCATGTCCGAGCCTGCGCAATCCATACGAGTCGCCCGGGCCGTTCGTTCAGTGAATGAACTGGGAGCGCCGTGGACGCACGCGTGAGGCTGGAGGAACGCCCGGCCCTCGCCTGATGAGTGACGTGCAGTGGTCTTGTGTGATGCCGCGACTCTGAGCGAGATGGCCGCGAGCTCAATCGAGCCCGGCCACCACCGACCATGTGCTGCATCATAGGTGAGCTGCCAACCCCCTTCAAGGTCACCCCGTAAACAATATCCTCGGTGACACCCTATAGTTTCTATTCCTTCGCCTCATTAAAAAGATTTGTGCTTTTAATCCAGTGTAGCAAAGGCATCGAAGGCGATTAAGCCTTTAAATAATGGCGCCGGGATGCCCCGGATCGAGCTTATCTTTCTCATTAGAGGCCTCGCGTCGCGCAAGGGATCATCGTTTCGCCTCCGCTAAGGCTATCAATATTAATTTTCAGTGTTTAATTACTAACACCACTACAGTTTTACCTACTCATTCTTGTAAAAAAAAAGCATTTCGCAAATTATTTTTGACACTTGTTCTGAATCTGGGAATCGCGATTCGACTCGAAAGAGACACAAGTAAGAGCGACTTGCGTTGAAAAAAAAATTGTCCTAAAATGAAAAAATATTGCTATCATTTCACGATCTTACAGTAATTTAAAAAGGTTGTTAGGTTTTTTAATTTATTTCAAAATGGCAGCTAAGCTTAGATGTTGAAATAAATAAATTGTTCTAACAGTTTTAGAGAGTTCAAGCAGAGCTTGCTTGATGACACGGGTGTATGACATTTTCAATAGATACATTGCTCTACATACGAGTACATGATTTAAGTAGGTACTAGTAGGTACTTATTCTGTGATTATATTAAACTCTTGTGTCTCTAGGAATAAATTCCTCACATTATCATTTTCCTCCGAAGGTGTTCAATGCTCTACCAAAAAGGCGAAATCAAACAGGAGTTGATTCCTACTTAGTTCTTGAAAATGTAGCACTGTCAACAAGTGAACTTATGAGTTTTCTATGGTAGAGCTGTCATAGTCTCAATTCCAGCGTAACAAACTGCTGTTATGTGCTACACTATGCACAAATGGAGAATAATTGAGTTATTTCATCGTAATTGCTTAGACAAACTAGTAATAATTTCGATGGGTACCTAACTAACATGGGTACTCAACTCAATAACTGCAATAGGAAATCTTAGTTTAATCTTTAGGTTAACGGAGCTTTTAATCTAAGCACTTTTAATCAAACTTTCTTTTTTCCAATACATACAATTCTGATAGATTTTTTCTTTAACCCTAAACAACAGCATGCGGCCCACTTGTTTAACTCGTATC